TATTTACCAAACCGATATTATGTGATTTGTTGCACCGACATCTTTTCAAGTTAGGTGTGCTTAATATCTTTACACCCTCTAACTTGAGGGGGAGTGATACGAATTAAATACTTTTCTAATTTTATTCCCATAAATTAGGGATTTTCGTAGTCAACTATTTTTATCTTTAGCACTTTTGTTTTCTCCTAAAACAATACCTAAATTGTAGGAATTCCTTATTTCATGTACATTATAGTTGTATAGCCTTTTATATTTATATTAATATTCTTTCGTAACACAAACATAAAAATATACAAACAAAATATTTCTCATGCTTTTATATATATATATATATATATATATATATATATATATATATATATATATATATATTAGAATTTATATATGCAATTATGCTACTCTCATTTAAAAATTATAAAAATAACCCATCACATAAATTATAATTATATATTTTAAAAATAAAACGCTCAAGTTCTAAAATTTTATTCGAAAATCCATATATAAAAAAAATCAAATTTATTAAGCTGTTAAACTCGAACGTAAAAAAAAAAATTATTTTAAATATTTTTCATGTCTAATTTCATGATAAAAAAATATGAAAATTTTTTAAAAATCAAATTTATTAACTGTTAAACTGTACGTAAAAAAAAATTATTTTTAATATTTTTCACGTCTAATTTCATTTCATGATAAAAAACATATGAAAATAAATTATTGAAAGAAAAAAAACAAAAGGGTAAAAAAGGAAAAAGGCCAGGCTCACGCGCTTGGGCTACTTGTGCAGGCATGCACGCCAGGCCAGTTCGACCCTTCATATCGCACAAATTAAAAAAGGTGGTTTTGGAAATACAAAGTGCTATTTAGAGGATTTGTTTGTTGTGATTAAAATGCATCAAGGAAGGCAAGTTATAAACCCCAGGTTTGATCTGGTTTTGTAACTTTCAAAATTTTGAATCTTGTAAAGTGTTTGCTTTATTAGGATGTCATACTTTTTTTTATTATTATTTTTAGAAGAAAATTATTACGCATAAATTGTTAGTTCTCTTATAAATTAGTCTCTGTTTTTATCAAACAAAGACACCAACGAAAGACCAACTGCCAGACAAACCTAAAAAAGACCAATACCTAAGCTAAGATTGCAAGAATGGTATGTGGCACTCAAACATCAGTTCGATAAACTCTTTCGTTGAGGATGCATAATATTTAAATCGTTTGCAAATCAGCTATTGGAGATCTAACGGCCTTAAGAATGGCAACAAGAAGAACAGAAAGATGGAACGACATAGAGATAAATAATAGATTAAACACAATGTAGCTGAATCTTGGTACGTGCGAGGATGAATGGAATATGAACAATCACAACCCTGCATTTTTAGTGTTTTTTTTTGTAATGAGTAATTTGACCTTTTCTATTTGCTTAGAACTATTTCATAATTAAAGAACTAAGCGTACACGAAAATTGACGTTCTATGAAACTTATCGGATTCAATAATTGACATGACAGACAATTGTGATATTCAGGATTGAGAGATACAATAATCTAACACCTCATTCTTTACCATGTCTTTCATCCTCTAAAAAGGCTTCTTATTCACTCGTGCCTAAATCAATCAATATTGCTTTGAATTTTGAAAAGGGCTTGTTGTTCTCCCCTAGCTAGCTAGTGTTCATCATCCACATCATATACTCGGTTGATTTTTATCCCATATGCACTAGCTTGTCAGGTCTTTGATTTGACAAGACAGATAGTTTTAGAATTCAATACATGACCAAACTAATGCCCTCCTCCTTTCCTCCACTGGGATGGTTTCCATGTACCTGTAATTTCTCTTCTTTTACATGTTTTTGTTATTTCTAAACGTATGATTGATAATACAATGTAAAAATTATATATATATTTGGATTGAAAAATTATTAATTGGATATATATATATATCCAATTAATAATTTTTCAATCCAAAAACATTATGTGGCTTGCTAGCTACTTGAATCTGGAGGCCCGCCAAGCATCAAGAATGAACAAGAAGAAGTGGTAGAACATAGAAATGCATGTTTGAGAAGGAATAAAGGACAAGTTGAGTGATAGAATTAAAAAACACAAACAAAAACAAGAGCAGAAGAATGATGGACCTTCTCCTTTCCTTTTTGGTACACAAACAAAAAGCAAAACAGGCTTGGCTTGTTTTTTTGCCATCTGCGGCGGATCCGCCCATCGACTGAGTCTATTTAGACAAACTGCGGTTGTTGTGGGACCCTACAGTGATTAAAACCTTATGATTAGATATCACGAGATCGAGATATTATCAATGTGGGGCCCAACTCCTGCTAATTACCAACTCCTTTTAATTACTTGAACCAAACGGTTTAATGAAAGTTTCGATATCAACACTGCACCTCAATATTATAATCAAAGTGATTTTGTTTCTTCCATTATGATTTTGGATTTTAATTTAAAAGAGACATCATCGCGGGGGGATAAATTGGGTGGATGTTCCGTTTAATGCTCAAAAAAAAAAAAAAAAAAAAAAGTAAACTAATTTCAGTAGAGTTAATTATAAATTAGTATTTTTAGTTTTGTCAAATGGATTAAATAGTTCCTTTTGTTATAAGAATTAAATAATTGATTTATTAATTAGTGTTGATTATGATTAATTTAATATTATTTTGTTATAAAAATATATATTTTTTTTATTAATTTTACAAAACTAAAAATTATGAGTTAAAATTATTATTATTGTCATCCTTCCAAAAGATATGACATCTCAATTAACAAAGTATTTTGAATGATGGCTCTAGTCTAATGCCATCATAATCTTTCTTAATTCCTTAAATTAGCCGTCTAATGCAGTTTCCAATTACGTCAAATTCATAATTATATTTTGTCAATCTGGTGACATTTATCTGTTTGAACAAATACTATTTTGAGTAGAGCAAAAGACACTTTTCATAGATATAATTAAACTAAACTTTCCCCAAACCTATGACCTTTATTAGACGAGCAACTGAAGAATTCCGCGAGTTGGGTGTTAGGAGTCGGAATTGCAGATTTTTTATTTAGGATAAACTATGATAACTGTTAAGGTATCATAAAATTATATGAATCCCCTATTTTTTTTATATTATTCATGCACTAAAAAAAATCGTATCTCATTATTTTTTTATATTCTCTCTCTTTTTTTAAAAAGTTTTTAATTTAACATACCTTTTTAAATAGTGATTATGGGGATTTTGGTATTAAAGAAGATTTATGCAATATTTTCTTAATCCTAAAGGAATTTTTGTTAAATTTTCAAACTTTTACTATAATTTCATAATACTCTTTTTTTTTATTCAATGTTCCTTTATTTATTTTTTTAGAATTTTTTTTCTCTTTTATAGAAGTTTAGGTGGCGCATGGTACAGGAATTCAACCCCCTTGAAATCATTTTTTATCCCCTCGAACAATGCTCCCTTAAAAACACTCTTATATTCTAAAAACAAAAGTAATATTTTAGATAATACAAGATCCCAAGTAAAGTATCATTTTTTAAAATTTATTATCACATCTTTTTTATTTTTATACTTTTTTTTTTTTTTTAGAATCCTTCTTTAAAATCACTCTTAGATTCTTCAAAAAAAAAAAAAAAAAAGATAATATAAGATTTCAAGTAAAGTATCATTTTTATGTTTGTTTGTGTAGTTTAAGAATTCTATAAAAATCTTTTTTTTTTAATACAAGAATATATATATATATATTTTTTATCGTTATATAATTGGTATAATTCAAAAAAACTAAACAAAAGAGGGTATTTTTGTCTTAATGTTTAATAATTTGAAGAAAGAGTATTTTTGTCATGAGCGATATTATACTTTATTAACGTTCAATTTTGGATTTGGATTGAATTGGATAAGATTCGAAATTTAATCTCCTAAAACGGTTCTCACTGGATGTTGAACCAATATTTTATAGAAATTACACAAAAAAGAAAACCTCCCATTTCTTTTTTCTTTTAAGAAAAATACCTTCTATATATTCAGAATTGCACATACCGCAAACAGAAGTGTATTCCATAGTCAAATATTTTGAAGATTTTCACAAAAAAAAAAAGAAAAAAAAGAAGAATATAAAACTCTGATTACTATTTCCTTAATAAAATTTGATTTTTTATACTTATATTTCAAAAATTACGGTCAACTTTGAATTTAATGATTTAAATTAAAAAAGAAGAATAAAATATAACGAATTGAATTATTTCTATTTTTATCCTACACTAATCATTTTCATTTAATGATTTAATTTTTCAATAAACTTTACAAAATATATGGCAAAGCAAAACTTTACTTGAATCTCAAAAATCCCAATTATTAGAAAAAAAGAAGCAAATAAGGTGAGCACCATGTTGGAAGAGTAAATTATGAATTAGTCTTTTTAGTTTTGTAAAATAAATTAAATAATTTTTTATTTCTAAAACTAATTAATTAATCATTTACAAGTATCGATTGTGGTTATTAATATTATTTGTTTAAAAATATATCTTTTTTCTCATAAATTTTCTATTTCTTTACTTATTTTTTTCTTTTTTCTATTTATTTAAAAAAGAAAAAATAGAAAAAGGATCAAGTTATGGATAGATTTAAAAATATAAAAAATATAAAAACTAATTAATAGTTATTAAAAATAAGAGGACGATTTAATTCTTGTAGGAAAAATAGAAGGACTAATTTATAATTTACTCCACGTTAGAAAAGGAAGTGGAAAAAAAGAAAAGGAGAGAGACAAAAGATAAGGTTAGTACCAGTACTCTCTCCTAATAAAGCAGGCTCTTCTTCTTAATGCTAACGAACCAGACCTATTTATAGCCTTCATCTCTCTCTCTCACTGACCCTTTTCTCTCCACATCCACAACCCATCCCCTTCTCCCTCCCTTTCTCACAGCCTAATCCCAGATCCCTATCCAACGAAAACCAAACATGAAAAACCCAGTTCCTGGTTTACCTTGAAAGTCTCAAATTTCCCAAAAATGTCGGCAATTAAGAGCATAATTAACAGGTCAAGATCGCACAGGGTGGTCCAATACAGCTCAGCACCAGACCTGAACCGTTTTGGTGGTGGCGGTGCTGCAGAGACTACTTCATATTGGGCTAATTTGCCTCAAGAGTTATTAAGAGAAGTGCTTATTAGGATAGAAGAATCAGAGAGTAGTTGGCCACCAAGAAAAAATGTGGTGGCTTGTGGTGGTGTTTGTAGGAGCTGGAGACATATAACTAAAGAATTAGTTAAAGTCCCCGAACTTTCTGGCAAACTCACTTTCCCGATATCTGTCAAGCAGGTAGCTTTATGTGCTTTCTTTTGCTCTAATTTTTAGCTTTCTGTGAGTTAATTATAATTGGGATTTATGGTTTTGATTTTGTGTTTTGATCTTTGATTTGATTGTTAGTGATGAGATCATGGATTGATGAAGAGTTGAATTCGTTTCTGGGTATCTAAAGTGGATATTTTTTTATTGGTTTTGGCTATTAAATGATTTTTATTTTGATATAAATTTTGTGTCGTGAGATTTTAAAGCTTATCCTTGTTCTGTTGTTTATACCTTTCTTGCGTGAAGAAGCTATTTAGACTCTAGAGTGAGGTTAAGTTTGCAAGCTTACAATCAAGTAAAAGAGTTCATTTGCTAATCAGGATTTTTTTTTTTTTTTGACAAGGGAAATTAGATTTGTGTTTTGGTTGATAACTGTGGTTTTTATGTATGTCATTCGGTCAGTGGTTTGAAGTTTTAATGGATAGGCATTGAGGTTGCTCAATACTGCTCATCTCCGAAAAACTTGTTTCCAATTGATGACAATTTAGGTGGGTTGAGTGGAAAATGGTATGTCTGGTAAATGGCAAGCGGTGATGTTTATTGAAACCTTGCATGTTAGGATTTTATATGCTCGAGATTTCAACCATTCCATGATTTTCATCCAAATACTAATTACAAGGACAAGGGAGTTGGGACCGCCTTTTTCAGAATAAGACTATTCCACTACCGTCTGCAAGTTTTAGAGAGGAACTCGCTCAAAAAAATGCCTTAAAAAGTAGTGCATACCCTTATTGGACCTCTTTTTGCTTCAATGGTGGAGGACCATGGCGATGAATAGCTTCAACAGTGATGCTGAGTTTGTTTCTTCTTTACTATATTAAGTTTCCTTGCCATGGTTCAATGTGTATAGCTTTTATGCCTGGTGCTAAATACACTGGATTAGTGTTAGTCGTGACAACCCTCCAATTGATTAAGTGATGGCATGATTCTGTGATGGGAATTGGGGTTGTGGTTTGTGATTTGGGAATTTCTTGACTTGCTGCTTTTGAGTAAGATTTCACTATCAGTTTGTTGTTTTCTTTTGGAGTCTTCCTTTCATGCATTGTATTGTTTGATTCCCTATTGTTTGCAGCCTGGCCCAAGGGAACCTCTCCTCCAGTGCTTCATAAAGCGGTGTAGGTCCACTCAAACATACCGTCTTTATCTCAGTTTAAATAATGGTGAGTAGGATCTTAATGGTGGTCAATTTGTTCTAAAGCTGCCAATATAGCAAACTAGATTTATGGTTCACAGGTTCACCATGCATCATTGTTGGGCCTTTTTCTTTTTACATTGTTTGGTGAGGTAATCAATTTGATAGACTGCTGAATTTTAAGAGGGACCTGACTTTTGCTGGTAGCTTTTCTTCGGAGAATTTAACCTTTTGAACTTTTTTGTTTCTTGGTACAGCATTAGCTGAAGATGGTAAATTCCTTCTTGCTGCACGCAAGTGTAGACGTCCCACCTGCACAGATTATATCATCTCTCTAGATACTGATGATATGTCCAAGGGAAGCAATACTTATGTGGGGAAACTTAGGTATGATATAATAGGCATGCAGAACGATTTTTCTCAGTTCTCTTATTGGCTGGAATTTTTAACATTTTTCTCTCCTGTGAAGATCCAATTTTCTTGGAACCAAGTTCACGGTCTTTGATGGGCAGCCACCTCATGCTGGAGCCAAGATGACAAAAAGCCGCTCCTCTAGGCTAGTAAATTTGAAACAAGTTTCTCCAAGGGTTCCTACTGGAAACTACCCAGTGGCTAACATCTCATATGAATTGAATGTATTGGGTTCCAGGTAAAGACTTAGGCACGTTCAAAAATTTACAGATTTGCCTTTGAAATAAGTGAATGGATGGCTATCTCCTTTCTGATTTTTTTTTCTTCCACTTCCAACAAATAAATTTGTGATCTGCGATTAATTTTTTTCCACCACTATTAAATTACTAAGCATGCTTTACTAGTAGCCTAGTGGATTTTTGTAAAATTCTTTCACATATCAAGCAGGGGTCCTAGGAGAATGCATTGCATTATGGATGCCATCCCCGCTGCTGCCATTGAACCTGGTGGAGTAGCTCCCACGCAGACCGAGTTTTCTCATCACAGTGTAGATTTCTTTCCATCACTCCCGTTTTTCCGTTCAAAGTCAAACCGTGTTGAGAGAGTTGAGAGCTTTCAATCAGGACCCTTGTCCAGTCAGAGAGAAGGAGCTTTGGTACTGAAAAACAAGGCTCCAAGGTGGCATGAGCAGCTCCAGTGTTGGTGTTTGAATTTTCATGGACGAGTTACAGTTGCTTCAGTGAAAAACTTTCAGTTGGTTGCTTCCCCTGAAAATGGACCAGCTGGGCCAGAACATGAGAATATCATCCTCCAGTTTGGCAAAGTGGGAAAGGATTTGTTTACCATGGATTACCGTTATCCAATCTCCGCATTCCAAGCATTTACAATTTGCCTCAGTAGCTTTGACACCAAAATTGCGTGTGAATGATGGATGACATGTTTGAGCAGGTTTGAAGTTGCTCTCTTAGAAACTAAAATTTCTTGGACCATGATTTTATTATAACCTCTGCGAATTGCAAAAGAAAATCTGAACCTTCCAGAATCATTATTATTATTATTATTATTTTGGAAATAGTATAAACTGCAAATTGCAAAAGGAAATCCTATTCAAGCTCTGCTGCATAAGTATGAAATGTAATTCTGAATGTAACAATGAAGAGATTGTGTCTTTTTGTCCTTATCATGGCTATTTTGTATCCTGGGGCAATAGGTGGTCTCTAGGAGTTGGATTGTCAAACTCGTTGAAACTTCAAAATGATGGACCTTTAAACAAGATTAACCATAACTGGACTGCTTAAGCTTTTCCTTGTGTTTGCATGCGTGCGAGTGTGTGTTGGGGTGGGGTTGCTGGTGCTGGTGGTTTACATTTTTCCTTTCTTTCTTGCCCGCCTCCATCAGCTTAGTCTTCTGTTCTTCAAAAGCCTTAATGCATCATGCTGTTTTATTGAACTACATAAGAAAACAGATAACAATGTACCTAGGTTTATTGCCATTCTGAATTGCAATTGTTTAATGCTGTAGAAGCTTTGATTATAGGCATCTCTTTATTAAAGAAAAATAGTGGGGCAATATGTCCAATGATGGGTCTGTAGCGCACCCGCAAACTTTTCTTGGCCATCAAGTTTCCCTTATAATATACGTCAACAGTTATCCAGATGAGTGCTAGTAACCCTATCTTCTTATAATGTCCAGGTGGAATGGAGTTTTCAGGGCTGATTGTGGTGCAATAAAGTTTGTGGGGAACTGAATATCTGGTAGTAGTATTGCAAATGAAATGCACAGAGGCTGCTGCTTGTTTGAAGGCTTTGATATGATGGTGTTGATTCTAACTTCTATTAAGATGTAAGAAAGAGATGTCGCATTTATAGTTTAGGATTGTAAGTGTCACCTATAATGCTCTGTATATTGTACTGTGTGCGTTTTCTTCTCTTTTATTTTTATTCTATTTTAATTTTTCGCATTTTCTTTCTTTCTTTCGTTGGTTTGTTTTCCTTTTTTTGGCTGTGTAACTATTTGTCACTTTAATTCTTTGTTGAGACACAAAGATGCAAGCTTGACTTGTATATTTGTCTTCCTAACCAGAAAACTAGAAAAATAATCCAATAAGTATAAAAATTGACAACTCTCCATCGATAAGAACGCATTGTATGCAACCGAACCATCTGAGACAATCCTTTCTCCTCAACTTTATCGTCGGTAATGCTCCCCCTATTTTCCTTCAACTGCCATTCCTTGTTTGGTTCTCTCTTCTGGCTTCATCTCATCCGCTTAAAAATTTTGTTTGGTCGGGAGTGGAGTTTGTATTGATTCGTTCATGTTCTTTGGTTTGGGGTTAATCTTGGCTTTTGGATGTTGGAAGAAATGGGGAAGAGGTGTGCTCTTCTGCAAGTTAAGTTTGATCACCATCACAATGCCTATTGCCTAGTGATCGTGCTCGTAAGCATTATAACATGACGTAACCAAAAAGAGTTGAGAGACTTGAGACAGGCAAGCCTGGCCTTGTTTGGGGCTTCTGTAAGAGGCCGTTTGGTATTGAGATTCCTGGATAGCTCATTTCACAAAAGGAGCAAATCCTCTTTCGAGGGGGAGTTTGGTTTTTAGGAATATCTTATCTTTAGGAAGGTAAGAGCCCTAAATACACACCAAACGCAATATTTTCCACATTTACGGAAATTTGAGATTCCCTAACAAACCAGACAATATTGCTTGGAACCTAAAACAAACTCCTACGCTTAACTAGCTGACACTTTGTAGTTGTAGTAGGCCTTGTACTCGTGCTGTTCAGCTTTCAATTCCAGCTGCTGAACAAGTGATAAACCGGCAGAGACAAGGGAATTTGCAGCCAGCTCTCCCGAAAAAGACAGCCGACACAATCATGATTCCTGCAAAATCAAGCCAAAACTATGGCCTCGGGCAGCAAAATGGAGAGCCAAGGTCAACGCAAAGGGCAAGGGCTTTGATGTTGCTAACAGGGAGCAACAAAAGAGTGAGTTTGAGGTCCCCAAGGCTTGGATTATATTTCAAACCAGCCCTTAAGGAGTTGATGACGGCAGCAACTCTTGGAGCAAAGAATTGAGAATCCGAGAGATTTTTTAAGCAAAAAACCGTCATTTAACTGAGGGACTGCTTTGGTCAATTTTTCATTGTTCGCAGCGTAAAAAACCTAGACGGATATAAAAGGATACATTTTGTATTTCAGTCAGAGCCATCTTCAATAGTGGTGGCAACAATGGCTATTTTGTGTCCAAAAGCTTGAGAAGCACTCGCTTAAACTTGAATCAACGCAGTTGCTGGTTATTGACGAGGTAATTCTCGTCTCGCCCCTTTAATTGTCTGGTATTTTCGGCATGTGAGTAGGATGGTTCAACGGTTTTTCCTGAGAATGGTTTCAAAATTAACTGTCCATATAGGTTGGGGTTAGATTACAGTTTTTGGCTATCCACAATTAATTTTTATTTTAAGCCTAGATTTTTTTAATTATTTAAAATATTAAAACATATTATATAGATTTACTCACCACGTGCGGGTAATTAAAATGAATATTTGTAATCAGTCTCAAAACTCTGTAGGAAACAAATCATATATATATATGTATATATATCATATTTGAGTTTAAATATATCCTAGAAAATATTTTTTATTTGGATCAATAAAAAAAATACAATTAATTATTTAATTTTTAAAATCAAATTAGAAGAATGTGCTAAATCAATTTATATTAGAAGAATATTTAATTTTGGTTAACAAATCTATAAAAAATAACTATTAATTATGAAGAAAATAATTATTTTGAGTTAATAATATATAATGAAAACAATAGAAGCATAAAAAAGAAAAAAGAGGTTGGGCTGGGGCTCACACCGAGGGCTTTCTATATAGGCCTGAATACAACCAAGTCCATTCGCGTGGGCCAAAAGCATAACCTAACCATAAAAAAATTCAAGGACCTTGTTGTAATAAAAATTAAAGTTAAGAATTGTTTTGTATAAAATTAGAACTTTTAAAAAAACTAAAGACGAAAAAATGTACAAAATAGAAAAATATATAAATTTTTCTTTTCTTTTTTTAATAAAACGGCATTGTTTCAAGCCCCCCAAAAAAATAATAATAATAAAAAAATAAAAAATAAAAAATTCATAAACCAATGATGTTTGGTTCATTGTAGTAGGGGTTTAACTACAATGAAATTATATATTTTTTTAAAAAGATATATGCATTTAATAATTGAGTTTAAATATATTTTAATAGTATTTTTTATTTTGATCAATAAAAAAATACAATTAATTATTTATTTTAAAAAATTAAATTAGAAAAAATGATAAATCAATTTATATTAGAAGAGTGTTTAATTTTAGTTAACTAGTCTATAAAAAAATTACCATTAATTATGAAGAAAAAAATTATTTTGAGTAAATAATAAATAATGAAAACAATAAAAGTATATGTATATATATATATAAAAGGTTGGTTTGGGGTTCACAACAGGCCCTTCTGTATGGGCCTGAAGAAAACTAGGTCCATGTGCCTTTGCTGGAAGCAACAGGTCAACCAAAAAAAAAAAAAAATGGAGGAACATTATTGTAATAAGAATTAAAATTTGAGATTGTTTTGTATAAAATTAGAATTCAAGGGATTAAAATGTACAAAATGTCCAAAAAATTACCCTTTTTTTTTTTTTTAACATTGTTTCAAGTTAAAACAAAAAACATAAAACGATGCTGATGCCCCTTTTATTTTTATTAACTATAGCAGAGACTTAATTATAGTTAAACTATATTTTATTTTAATATATGTTTAATTCTGCTGTGAAATATAATTTTTTTTTTTTTTCTGGTTAAAGAGAACATCCTTTTATTGGGAGTTGCCCCTACTCACAATGATTTTGATATATGGTGAGTTGATGTTGTGTTTCTTGACGTGCATGCAGTAAAAAGCAATGCTCTCCTTAGCTGTCTTATGCACACATCCTTCTTAATTTCTTGAATTGATGCATTGAATGTAATTTTGATTATAGGGTTAAGACCTTTATCAAATTTAAGTATTTTAGCAGTTGGTGATCATGTTACATAGAAATTTTCTACTCAAGTCAATAATAAAACTCAGATTGTCTAGTTTCTTTACTTTTCTATTTCATTCAAGTAATTGTACTGTTGAATACATTACATAAAAGAAGAGTACGCACCAATGTCAAGCATAATTGTATGCTATCATTCAGCTTAGGAAAATTTGAAACCTTTGGCTGGGCTAGACAACTTCATTAGTTTTATTAAGTTTAAGGATCTATGTCCTGGAAACGAAAACAAACAATTAATGGATATTAATACATAATAAGTTGCTTATTTTTTATAGTCATGATGTCAAAAAATCAATTTGATATTTAAGAACGAAAACAAGAATATAGAGTTAATTCAAAGATCTAAGTCTTCCTCTCACTCTCTAGAGAGCTTAAGCGTAATTTTCAATGGAGCAAACTATCATTTATAAATATATATTTATAGAGTTAGAATTAGGATGTAAGAGGGGATTGCCCTAATAATAAAATAGCACTTATAGACTCTCCCATTAGAAAACCCAAAGAATTTATCCCATAATTGATCCCTGTATAGTTTTAATTTTTTTGATTGAGTCCCTTTAATATTTTTTAGCTTGATTGAAACCTTCTATTCTTATAAATTTATTGATTGAGACCCTCCATTAATTGTCAATCTTACGTGGCGTTTTAAAAATGACGATAGTCAATCAAGAACCGACACGTGAAAAGGGGATCCTAGTTGTGAGATTATAATTCGAAAAAAAAAAAACTTATAAATTTGGGAAAAATTTTAAATTAAAAAATTATTATTTTATAAAAATAAAAATACAAAAATACCATCTAGCATATTATTTTACACCCAACTCGTTATCTTCTTCATTTTTATGTTGTATCAAAATCTCCGAACTCCTAACCTTCTCTTCTTCTCCATTTATCTAGCAAAATCGCCCTAATTCTCTCATTTTCTTTGTAAATTGCAACTCTTTTCTTATTCTCCATTGTTTTGGCAATCCCAATTGTCCCGATTCTCTCATTTTATTTTTTTCAAAATCCCTAAATTCCAACTCTTCTTTTCTTCTCTATTTTTCCGGCAATCTACCCTAATTATGTCGTTTTATTTGTTTCAAAATCCCTAAACTCCAACTCTTTTCTTCTTCTCTATTATTCGGTAATCTCTAAATCCCTAACCCAATACAAATCATGCTTTTGTTGAATCCTTAAATCTCTAAATCCTAAATCTCTAATTTTTAAATTCCCTAAATCGAAACCTTCATTCATCTTTTGCGGTGTCTTCTTGCAATCTAGAAAGACATGATCACTTCATCCATATGATCTTTATTGTCGAAACATTCGGATGTATCACAATGGTCGATATGTGCACTTGGTGATCAAGAGTTACGATCATGTTATGAAGAACCATCGATTATGTGTTTACGTGGGATGAAAATGGTGAAGGTATTGTCTTAGGGTGATGAATACCTAAGTGTTAGATTTAGTGTTTGCCCATTGATATTTTAATGTCAAAAGAAGAAAAAATGTTGGCTGTAGTTTTAAAGTGTGTTTTGCGAATAATTTAGATTGCAGAGCTAAAAAGATTGTTTTGGAATTGTGAAATTAGCAAAAACAAATATATATAGTGAATTGTAGGTTGATTTCGGAGAATTTGAGATTGAATGAGGTGTTTTTTAAGTTAAAAAATGAGAATTCGTGCATTAAGAATAAGAATGAGAATTGTTAATTGAAATGAAGACTATCAAAGTTGAGAATAATGCTTACAATAAGAAAAAATAAGATGAGAAAGAGTTACTACTATTAGAGATCGTAGACTTGAAGTAGATATGTGATGATTTAATATTGTTTAAGAGTATAATACATATTTTACTTAAATTTATTTGTATGGTGTTTGTTATTGTGGTTGTAATACTATGAGTTTGACAGGAGCTTGACAATTGTTATGATTCAAGTTATTCTTGCATGTGTAAATGAATGAGCATTAATGGCTTATCTATGACCTAATCTCTGATTTTGTGAGATAGTTGCTTGAGGCTTGGCACATTGTTAGTGTGAAATTTGTTGTTGATAATCCAACAATATGATTCAAGTTATTATAGTAGGAATGTCTTTTGTTTTGGTGAATGCGGATTAATAAACATTTGTTTTTCTTGGTTCTAGTATTGTGCTAGTTATAATTGGTTCACCTCTATGATTGTGGTTCACCCACACTCCTTAACTTTTTAATGACAATGACCTAGTGGGATTGGCCTTTACTAAATAAGGGAGAGGGGATTAGATGATAGCAATAAGTTGTTAGACATTTTCTAGAATAAAGGGCATTAAGAGGGAACCGAATAATGGATTTGATGGCCACAAAATACTTAACATTTAACTATAGAACATTTGAGATAATAACTTTTCTAGAATGAAGTTAACTCCGTAAATGCATTTGTGAGTTGCTAAATGCTAGTACTTGACAACAAGTTAATTCTTCTAGTCACATTCGGTTTGTTAAATGCTAATATTTGTCAATAAGTTAATTCTTATAGCCACGTCCCATTATGACAAAAATATTCATTTTCCTCTCAAGTAAAACTAATTTCACAACATATATTTTTTTTAAAATTCAAATGAATAGCCACCAAAGATACCTCAATAACAAGATTAGATATCAATTGTTTTTAATAAAATTCCTCAAAATATCAATTCGCCTTCGACGGTATTCGTTATAGAGAATTAATCAAATTTTAATTAAATTCCTCAAAACATCAATTTTTTTTTTTGAACCACTAGCAGTACCACTTTTTTTTTCCACTCTTAATCTTGTAAATCTTTTGACTTCAACGAGCATCGACATCCGATTTTGGTTTCTTATTTTTTGAAACATTTATTATTATCTTTGAGACACTAGTGTCATATATGGAGAAACCGGATTCATCAACAAAACATCCAACTCTAATTATCGATTTTTTTCCTTGTTTTTTTATTGCAACAACCTTCTACATTGTATTGACAAACATATCTTTTGAATACATATGGAGAACATATCT